AGGCATCCTTCTCCAGTGAGCCGTCTTCCAGAACCCTCCACCTTATTTTTTTTTCTTGAGAGAGGGACAGTGTTTGGGTTACAGATTCGAATCACCATTGGTTTGTTTTTTGGTGTCCCAGATCCGATCTCAGATTCTCAGGCTTGGGAAGCAGGCATCTACCCTCTGAGCCATCTTCCTGGCCCCTTAAGTATATTTATTTGAAAAGGAAACAGTAAGTCCATAAGTAGATTGTCAAAGGCGATCCTAACCATGAATGTCTTGCAGGTGAAACAGTTGTATCACCATTTGGGTGTGGCTGTCTCAGGTGCAGCTGGGACCCTTGCTCTGTGCAGGAATGCTGCTTGACTCAGGAGAGCCAATCAGAAACTTTTTGCCTCCAAAACAAGTACGCTTGAAGGAGATTTGGAGGTGAGGGCTCAGGGTTTTGGCGGTCTGTCACCCTGTCTCTTAGGAAACATTTATGAACTCTAGCTTTAAAGCATCAAGGCCACCATGAGGCTTGCTTGCTTGTTTGTTTGAGGTAGGCTCTTGCTATGCAGACCAGATCGGTTTCAAACTTACCATCTTCCTGCCTCAGCCTCCCGAGAGTTAAGAACTACAGGCATGGGCCATCTCACTGGATTACAGTCCCTGATTTTACAGATGAGGGAGTTAAGGCCCAGAGGAAACTTGCCCAGGACCAAGAATCCAGTGACTGTTGGCAAGGGAGTTGGCCCTGTTCTGGGTGATTCTATAAGTACCTCAGCCCTGTTCTCCACAGGGGAAGCTCAGCTTTGCAGGGAGGAACCTTCAGGACCCAGCATCTGGAGTAAGAAATGAAGGTGTTAATTCTACCTGATCTCCATCCAGGTAGGGTAGGCTCTCAGGGAGACTGAAGTGAAGTCTGACTGTGTTAGACTTCACAGTTTAGAACAGACAACACCAGACCAAACGGTTCCGGGTGGGGGTGCGGGTTATTCAGGAGATAGGGCAAAGGTGGGGGGAGAGAAATGGGAGAAGATGGCAGAGAAAGAGGAGAGAGAGAGAGGGGAGAGAAGTGGAGGCCGGCCATGACCACATAGAGAGAGGGAAAAGGGACAGGGGGAGAATCGAGGAGACAGACAGAAGCTAGAGGCAAGAGAGCAAGAGAACAAGAGAGGAGGAGGCAAGCAGCCCCTTTTATAACGGGCAGGCCTTCCTGGCTGTTGCCAGGTAACTGTGGGGAGGAGCATACCTGGCTATTGCCAGATAACTGTGGGGGTGGAGTTTAGACAGAATACTAACAGACAGGACTGGAGCCAGCCATAGAGATGGGGCTGGTGTGTGTGTGTGTGTGTGTGTGTGTGTGTGTGTGTGTGTGTGTATGTGTGCATGTGTATGTGCTCACACATGCTTGCTGGCAATGGAGGTGGGTACGGGTTACTTTTCTCTAGCAATCTATTTGATGTAAGGTTCAGAAGCCTAAGTCATTCTCGGGCTGGTCCAGTTCCGTGCATCCTGGGAGGAGGTCAGACCCCCCTCCCCCAGGCAGTCTGTCACCTGAGGAGTGTGTCTGGTATAGTCATCATGGGAGTCATTTTAGAGGGAGTCAGGTCTGGCCATCAAAGCCCCTCTGCAGCAGGACGGTGAGGACCCCCTGTCTACACTGCATCGAGTACACTGTAGGGTCTGCCTTTCGCTGGGTAGTGGTCAGTAATCCGTATACAGGGAATCAGCTCCAGACAGGAAGCCAGACCTGGGGGAGCTTGCCCATTGGAGGCCAGGCTCTCAATATGGAGAATGAATAGGCCTCCCTCTGCAGGTCCTGGCCACCCAGCCCTGGACTGGAGCCAGTCACCCTGACTGTGTTTGCACTTCCTACCTTGTATGTTTTTGCTGAGCGCTGTGGTCCACAGACAACACTAGCGCCCTGTCAGCTCACAAAGGGCCTTCTGACTCACTTTCCTTTTAGGGCAAAGCCCACCCTTGTGCCAGGACCAGCCGGCTGGCCAAAGGGACCTACCTCCAGCAAGAACGAACCACTTCTGCCATGTTTCGTGTTTGACCACTGTCTTAAGGACTTAGCTATTTATGACGCACTCCTCTGGGTCTTTCTTCCCAGAGTGGTAACTGTTTCAAGGTCAGGGTGTCCATAATGGGACTTGTGCTTTTTTTCCCAGGGTGCTTTGCTGGAAAGCACCCTCTTGTGGCAGACAGAAACCCAAGGCTGTAGATGCTCTGAATAGTCTCACAGAAGACCAAAGCACCCTCCACTGCCCAGCACTCTGCCCGGTCCAGGGTCAGCCCTACAGGGATCCAGAGTCTCTGCATGGCCACAGGGGGCAGCACTGTTTCCAAGGAGGGCTTGGTGGGAGGGAGAGGATTGAGGACTGTCTGACAGCTGCTTTAGAGTGGCAAAGCTGGGAAGCTGGTCTTATTGCCAGTTCTATAATGGCCACTGATGAGCTGACTCCATGAGGCAGAGAGGGTGGCAGTGGCAGCTTTAATAAGCTGGAGAGGCTGGGACTATGCCTGTCAAGTTCAGAGTTCGACAGCTTGCTTGCAGCCAAGAGACAGCTTCTAAAAACTTTGAGTTTGGCACAGGGGAGACAGGTCTGGGGAAGGAGATGAGGCAGAGATGAGGACAGAGGAGAGCCATCTAGGAGGGTCTCAGAGAGCTGGCCTCTCTGGGGTGGTAACTCTCAGCTAGAACCTGGAGGACACAGGCAAATACATACATGTTGTTTTGGAGGGTGGTTTTGGAGGCTCTAGACTAGGTGTGTCCAACCTGTGGCCCCCCCATGAGCAGCAGGCACCCCAGAGTAGCGATGAATTCTGCTCAACCCAGAATCATAAACATAATCAAAACATGAGATTTTTTTTTCATAATTTTATTTTATTTTTTGGTAACTTCATTACATGGTTCTTGAGTGTGAGCCTGTGAGGGAGGGTCGGGGGCCTTTCCCAGGCCTGCCTCTGGAGTGCACAGACAGAGAGGAGCTGTAGCCTTCTGTTCATGAAGAGTCAGGCCATCCAGAGGCAGTGGAGGGCTAAGTGTGCAAGGTGACATTCCTTTTCCACTGGCAAGTGTGTGGGTGTTTGGAGAAGACACTGGTGGAAGGATACTGACCTGTGGGGCTGGGATCACAGCACTTAGCTATGAGAGGAGTCTGCACTCTGCTGCCCAGCATTTCCCTGAAGCAAGAAGGGGCAGATGCTACAATTCAGGACCTGTGCTTCTTTGATTTTATCTACAGAGTTGTTTTGCTGACACTGCATGGCCACCTCCTAAGGGAAAAAGTCCCTTGTGAGAGTAAATTGCCAAATCGATCTTGCTTCAGCCTTCTTGCCTGAGCGTTTGGGCCTTGGTGTCTGGTGCCCACACCCTAGCCTGCAGAAGAACAAGGCTGAGGGTGTGTTCTGCCGACTCTGGCATTGTGCAGTGTCTTCACCTCCCTGCCTGTGTGGGGACTGGAACCTCTGGAAGCAGGTTCGGAAATGCCAGTGTGTAGACTTAGGTCTGTCACTAGTGTCCTGGGGCTGGTCAGACGAGGGTGCGCTGGCTTCAACATCCTTACCTCTGAGAGGAAGTTGGGTGAGAAGACCCTTGGGGTCCCTCCTAAATCTAGCATTCCTGATCCCCTTTGCTGTGTGCTGGCCGTGTCCTCTCAATGGGAGACTGGTCCTTATCTCTCCTTGTCTTTGCCCTCTGGCAAGGGACTCTAATCTGGTCCCATGGTCTGACACGACGTATGTGTGGAGTGCCAGCCCAAGCCACACACTGAATGTAAGGCTCCAGGGTACAAAATGTTGGTATGGCTTCAAGTGGATCCCTCAGTCATGGGAGATGGATCCGGACCAAAACAACCCTGGGTCCCCTGGCCCTCTCCAGCATCTTCGCATTGAACTGGGATCCGAACCTCAGACCAGCCTTTAACTGTCTTTTCTTATCTTCTGCAACTAGGATCTGCCCCAGTGCTGAATGCTCAGCCCCCTGAAGGTGCTGTCCTCATCTGTGACCTTAGGGCATCTCTACCCTTGCTTGCTTGAGTGTCTTGTCTGGGCCCCTGGATTGATCTGCCCCCTTCATTGAGTTTTGTGCTTCTGCCCCAGATCAGAGCACACTCCACCCATGGTAGCTCCTTTGGAGGCTCAACCTGCACAAAGCACCCTCCCTTGCACACAGGCGTCTTGCACACAGGTGTCTTGCACACTGGCACCTTGCACACAGGCGTCTTGCACACAGGCAGTTTGCACACAGCCTCTCAGCCCACTGGCTTGTTTCACTTACAGGATCTTGCCAAGCCCGGAGTGCCTGGGTTTCCCTGCTCCCACCTTGTGCTGGGTATGGTTCTCTTTCAGCTTCCCACCCCAGTTTCACCTCCTCAGGGAGACTGCCTTCAGGTTCAGTGACCCTAGATATAGCTCTCACCTGCCCCTGCCTGAGGACATCCTCTCTCAGCAACCATCTCCATGGTCACGGAGGTGGGCTGGGTGAGCAATCTCATGCTCGAGTCCCTAAGTTACAAACACTAGAGCTAGGGCCGGCTTTTCTTGCCTCCCTCCCTCCC